GAATATATACATATTGGTCTATATATATTCAACTTACACACTGGAAAAGTCAACTGTGTTGACGCTTTCTACTTCTCTTCCACATTATTCTGTATAATACTGCGGTATTCTGTGTATTATGGAGACATGTGTGTGTATGACAAATCAAGAGCCAATGAAACACTGAGACACACTTGCGATTTTGCCACTATATTCATAGAAGACGCTCCCTTTCCAGCTGAGGAACAATCAAATCCCATCTTCAGGACAGGGACTGGAGCAACGAACCCCTCGTCATGGCCAAATCTGTGGTCTAGGCAAGTGCCTTTAAAAAGGACTGTACTGTGCTCAAAGGGGACAGCGTGCTAGCTCACACATGATCACAATGACTACCACAGGCAAATATACAGCTTTTCTGTTTTTTTTTTCTGAAAATGAAGAGTTTTCTAGATGCCTCTGTTTGTCTTGTCCTGACACCTCCCACGTTGGCATTTGTGTGTCTGACTATGTCTGGTCTTCCATCCGCATCCCTGGAGAAAGTGAAGGCGGCAGAGTACCCTTCCTCTCCCTGCACACACGATGTCTAAAAGCCTAAGGCAGGGAGGTCCTCCCTTGTTTTCTGCTGTTTTTTTTTTAATTGCAGTAAAGTTGACTTACAACATTGTGTTAGTTTCAGGGGTACAGCAAGGTGATTTGATTATAGGCACTCAAGATGTGCCACTTTTTAGATGTTTCAGCCTCCTTCCATTAGGATAAAAAAAAGAAACCAGGTACATCTCCTTCCCATAAAAAGTCTTAAATTTCCTGAACTTACTGGCCCAAGGAATCCTGAGTTTTCACATTCTACAAAGTACACCACTCAGTTCCCAGGGCCGGGGAAAGTGCCTCTCCCTGCGACCCTGTCTCTGGTCTCACCAGCCAATTAATCCAGGAGCAAACTCTGAATAATTAGGGAGTAGATTTGCTGGATAAATGATTCTAGTCACATCAGAGCCACTCACCCAGCAGGGACCCACAGCAAGGCTGGATGCTGAAGACTTCTGTGAGGTACTGGATGTGAAGATCAACCCTACAGAAAATGGGGAAATTGTCACGGAACAGCTGAGAGTTAGAAAAAGAGGAAAGAGGGCACAAGACAGCAGGGATGTCTGTGTTGGGATGAGATGAAGAGAGAAAGGGGGTGTGATGGAGAGCACATGTGAAGGGCACTGCCCACCAGAGAAGAGGGGAAACCATGGAGAACGGAGGCTGTGGGACATGTTCCTGGGACAATATCACAGGTGGTGTCAGTCTTACAGAGTTCAGCTACTTCCCAGAAGGAAGAGAGGGAGCTCCCAGAGAAATACAGGGCAGAGAGACTTCAGGGCAAAGAGGATTGAGCATGACTTGTGCAGTGATTGAAGCCATTCATTCAAAGCTCAAGACACAACATTATTAAAGGTCTTATTTAAATCACAGACTCTTATTAAGCCCAGACTCTTCCTCCTCGCAGATGGGTGCCCACCCCAGCCCACCCTAACCAAGAGACATAACATCATAGTTTCAGAAAGGTCTCCTTTCCCTGACTGGTAAGCCAAAAACTTCGCCTGGACTGGTTGAGAGTGAACTGTCCTCTAGGATCTTAAGATTTGTTCAAATTTTAGGATTCTCATGTATTTCTCCTTTAAAGTCAGAAGAAGAAGAAAAAGTAAGGTCCTAACTCAAAACTAGAGTTCCTCAACTCAATCACTGAGCTGTCAAACAGACCTAAAATTAATGGTAAGGGTCCACCTCACCCTGGTGCGCGAATGTGGACCCCACTGATGGAGACTGAGACTCTGTGGAGCCCGGCGGGCAGCGGGGGAAGCACCACCTCCAGGCCTTGGGCCGTCTGCTCTCGAACCGGAGTCCTGGTATCCCCGATGTGGACTTCTGCATCCAAATCCGTGTGGTTCGCGGGAAGCATCATTCCAATGGAAAGGGTCTCACCTCCTGTGTTGAAAAAATCCATTAGCCTCTGTGCTGTGGATTTGTGGCCTCAACCACTTATTCAAGTCTAAGACTATCTTTCAGGATTAAACGTGGCATCAGCCCTGTGCATGATACTCTAATTAAGAATTTTAATTCCAACCTAATTTTTTTTCAGGAAACATAACAACTCTGAATGGAGCTACAGCCTATAACCTCAAGGGCACAGGAAGCAGAACTGTAAGGAGAGTTGTGCTCAAGGGGCACTAACTTATCTCCACATAAAAGCAAATCAAGTTTGCAGGGCTGATGTCAGTCTTCATAACCAGCCAACGGCCCCTATGTCTTCTGTTTTCAGCCTCCACTTTTCTGAAGATAAATGTCTAAAGGTCTGCTTCCATGTCCATCAACAGATGACTGGATAAAGAAGCTGTGGTATATCTATACAGTGGAATACTACTCAGCCACAAAAAAGAACAAAATAATGCCATTTGCAACAACATGGATGGACCCAGAGATCGTCATACTAAGTGAAGTAAGCCAGAAAGAGAAAGAAAAATACTATATGATATCACTTATATGTGGAATATAAAATAAAAAGCACAAACAAACTTATTTACAAAACAGAAACAGACTCACA